AGCAAGAAAATTATAAACCTATAGTATTCAATAAATGAAGCATTTGTGAGTAAATAGACCCAGAGATCAGTGGATGGTAACCAGGAGGCTAAAATGAGAGCCATGTGTATGCGGGAGATGACTATATGACAGAAGTGTCATTACAAATGAGTAAGAAGGAATAAAGTATTCAATAATTACCCCTAAATCATCCACAGGGAATTAAACAAATAAATGCTCTTGAAAAGCTAAATTAAAAATCACAATAAAGAAGAAAATATTTGGAGAACCCACTTGATTCTTAGTAGTCACAGTATTTTCAGTCTATATAATTCTAAGTGAACACTGAATTAATAAATACTGAAATAATGCTCCTTGGGGAAATATACGGTTGGGTTCCTGCCAAACTTTGGCCACCATTTCTATCAACTGACCAATATATATCTTGTTTTACAAGTATTTCTCTTTAAATATAATTCATTTACTTTATATTATTGATTCATTAACACTAAACTCATGCCAACAATACTATCACCTATGCTTGAATTAATTTTATTTAACAAATGTAGTTTCTCCATAAGAAACTTCACCACTAAGCTTGGGAGCCATTTTCAATAGCGAACACTCTAACACACACACACACACACACACACACACACACACACACACACACACATACACACACACACCAGTTTTAATATGGGAAATGAGGGAAGGAGTTTTGTACATGTAAGTTGAAGACTTCATTTTTTTTCCCAACAACTGCTGTCCAATATATTATGGAAGGCACTATTCCCTTTAGAGCAGTGGTTCTCAACATGTGGATCACAACCGTCACAACAAACTTTATCTCCAAAAATATTTACATTATGATTCATAACAGTAGCAAAATTACTGTTATGACATAGCAACAAAATAATTTTATGGTTCAGGGTCACAACATGAGGAGCTGTATTAAAGGGTTGCAGCCATAGGAAGGTTGAAAGTACTGGTCTAGAGAGAGGGCTCTGAGCTATACACGACAGCAAGAAGCTAGGTGAAAAAACCAGTACGACACAAACAAGGGTGCATATATTCTCTCTTGCTCCCGACTGTGATATGATGTGACTAGCTCTTTAAAGTTCCTGTCTTTTAACTTCCCTGGAAAGATGGACTAGAACCTGGAATTGTATGCCAAATAATCCCTTTGCTCCCCTATGATACTTTCAGTTAGGGGTTTTTGTTTTTGTTTTATTTCAGCAACAGGAATGTTTTCAAATAGTAGATAATTTTTTTATTGTTGTTAAGATTTGGCATAAAGTTCCAGAATTCTCTCACAGTTCTTTTAAAAGTTTTATTGTAAATCTATAGTTATATTACTTTTTTTGTTTCCATTAATATGACTAGCTTTTTCTTTTTTTTTCCCCTGTACTGCAGCTCAAACATAGAGCTTTCTGCATATTTGTTTTAAATTTAATTGCATTAGAATTAGAAAATGTAATACATAATATAATGAAAATGTATCTCAGATTGTTTGGTAAGTGTGGTCTGTTTTGTTTTGTTTTTATAAATGTTCTGTGTGCCTAAAATGTGTATTCTTTAGAGTTGATCTTAAAAATAATATTTCAAAAACTGATTTCAGAGTTGCATATATATTTTTGCACGTATCTATATGGTATATACATAAATATTTCTACACATTCACTCACATATACACATGACAAATCATGGAAATTAGTTAGGATGTCCAATCTTCCATATGTTTATTTTATATTTGCATAATAAATTATTGACAAAGGCATATCACAAAGCTGTCAACTTAGCCCAGCACTTATGCACATTTGTGCATCAATTTTAAAGCTTTGTTATTAGATGTGCATATATCTAAAATTATTTTTCTTCTTTGTGAATTATTTATTATAATATTTAGTAATAATCTTTTCTTTACTCTCAATAATATTCTTTGCATTGTGAACTGAAGTTCTCAGTGGGGTGGGAAAAAAGAGCTGCACCTGTGTTAAAGATTAAACAAAGCAGGTGAGAGATCCAAGACGGTGGCACTGATTGCACAGTGTCTGAGTGTCTGATCAGCAGGACAGCAGTGACTGCACAGTGACCAACAGATGAAACTGTGGGCTCCCAAACATCAGGCAAATGTGTTTCCCATAGAAACCGACCAAACCTCTATGATCCCAGGTTCTCCAAGACTGCTGCACCCAGCAAACACAGTGTCTGAATACAGTATCTGGGCAGCTGCTGCTCATTAACTTCAGAGCAAGAAAGCCAGTGTCAGGACAGCTGTCTCCAGGGCTCCTGAGGAGTTCAATTAGTCCACAGGATCATACACCTAAGGAGAGTCATACCAGTTCTCTGTGAACCAGCCACCCTGGGACCATATCCACCAATATGAGGAAGGCTCCTGCAGGAACTTCCAGCTCTCTGCCCAGGGCTCTTCCAACCCCCCACCCCCTCCCAGGACTCCAGAAACTACCAGCCAATGCCAGAGACAACCAGATTACTGAAGGCTAGCATAAACCCACAATAAACAAAAGCTAAAGCAATATGGCATCTCCAGATCCCATTTATCCAAAGGCAAGCAACCATAGATACCCTCAACATAACTGAAACACAAGAAAATGACCTTAAATCTATGCTTAAGAAGATGTTAATGGAAGAAACAAATAAAATCCATAAAAAATCCAAGAAGACGTAGTCAAACAGAATGAAAGGCCTGTAGAGAGGAAATGAATAAATCACTCAAATAAATACCGGAAAACACAATCAGGTGAAGGAAATCAATAAACAGTTCAAGATCTGAAGCTGGAAATGGAAACAATAGAGAAAGCACAAACTGAGGTAATCCTGGAAAAGAGAACTTAAGAAAGAAAACAGGAACCACAAAGGTAAGCATCTCCAACAGAATACAAGAGATGGAAGAAAGAATCTCAGGTGTAGAAGACACAATGGAAGAAATTGATGCATCCTTCAAAAAAATGTTAAATCTAAAAAATTCCTGACACAAAACATCCAAGAAATCAAGAACACTATGAAAATATGAAGCCTAAGAATAATAGGAATAGAGGAAAAAGATTTCTGTCTCCAAGGCCCCAAAAATATTTTCAACAAAATCATAGGAAAAAAGTTCCCAATTTAAAGAGATGACTATAAGCATAAAAGAGGCCTACAGAACACCTACTAGATTAGACCAAAAAAGAAAACCTCCCACCACATAATAATCAAAATACTAAATGTACAGAAACAAAAAATATTAATAACTGCAAGGGGGAAAGGCCAAGTAATGTATAAGGACAAACCTATCGGAATTACACCTGACTTTTCAACAGACACTATGAAAGCCAGAAGGGCCTAGGCAGATGTCCTGTAGACCCTAAGAGAACACAGATGTCAGCCCAGACTACTCTACTAAACTCTCAATCATCATTGATATAGAAAACAAGATATTCTATAACAAAAAGTTAATTTAAACAGCACCTCTCTACAAATCCAGCCCTACAGAAGATACCAGAAGAAAAATACAACCCAAGAAGGCTAACAACACAGGAAAACTAGACAAGCACACAAATACACTACCATAACCAATACCAAAATGAAAGAAACAGTTACTGATCATTAATCTCTCTCAACATCAATGGACTCAATTCTCCAATTAAAAGAAGAAACAACACAGATTAACAGAATGGATGCATAAACAGGACACAACATTCTGTTGCATACCAGAAACACACCTCAGCCACAAAGGTAAACATTACCTGAGAGTAAAGGTTTGGAAGATGGTTTTCCAAGTAAAGAGACCAAAGAAGGAAGCAGGAGTAGCCATTCTAATATCTAATAAAATAGTCTTTCAACCAAAATTAATCAAAAAAGATGGGGAAGGGCACTTCATACTCATCAAAGAAAAAATAGACCAAGGTGAAATCTCAGTTCTGAACAGCTATGCCTCAAATACAAGGGCACCCACATTTGTAAAGCTTAAGCCACACATCAATCTTCACACAATAATACTGGGAGATTTCAACACTGTACTCTCATCAACAAACAAAGCTAAGTCGAGAAATAATGTCACTAATAGATGTCATGAATCAAATGGACCTAATAGAGGTCTACAGAACTTTTCACACAAACACAAAAGAATATACCATCTTCTCAGCACTTCACAGAACCTTCTCCAAAATTGAATATATAGTAAGTCACAAAGCAAGCCTCAACAAATACAAGAAGATTAAAACAATCCCTTGTCTCCTATCAAACCACCATGGACTAAAGCTGGACCTCAACAACAACAGAAATGGCAAAAAGCCTACACACACATGGAAACTGAACAACTCCCTACTCAATGACAACTGGGTCAGGAAAGAAATAAAGAAAGAAATTATGGGCTTCCCAAAAATTAATGAAAATGAAGGCACAACATCCAAACTTATGGGACATAATGAAAGCAGTGCTAAGAGGAAAGTTCATAGCACTAAGTGCCTTCAGAAAGAGATTGAAGATATCCCATACAAGCAACATAACAGCTCACCTGCAAACTCTAGGGAAAAAAAAAGAATCAGACATACCCCAAGAGATGTAGATGATTAGACATAATTAAACTCAAAGAATCAATGAAACCAAGAGCTGTTTTGTTTTGTTTTGTTTTTGAGAAAATCAACAAGATAGACAAACCCTTAGCCAAACTAACTAAAAGGCAGAGAGACACTATTCAAATCAACAAAATCAGAAATGAAAAGGGGGACATAATCAAAGACACTGGGGAAATCCATAGAATTATTAGGTCTTACTTTAAAAGCCTATATACCACAAAATTTGAAAATCTAAATGAATTGGACAATTTTCTTGATAGATTGCATTTACCAAAATTGAATCAAGATCAGGTAAACAAATTAAATATTCCTATATACCCCAAGGAAATAGAAGCAGTCATCAAAAGTCTCCCTACCAAAATAAAAGCCCAGGACCAGGTGGGTTCAGTGCAGAATTCTTCCAGACCTTCAAAAAAGAGCAAATACTAATATTCTTCACCACTATTCTACAAAACAGGAACAGAAAGAACATTACCAAACTCAATTCTATGAGGCCACAGTCACCTTGATATTCAAACCACACAAAGATCTCCTCAAATGAGAATTTCATATCTCTCTTAAGAACATTGACACAAAAATACTCAACAAAATACTCACAAACCAAATCCAAGAACACATCAAAGAGATCATCCATCATGACCAAGTAGGCTTCATCCCAGGCATGCAGGGGTGGTTCAATATATGGAAATCCAATCAATGTAATCCACCGCATAAAGAAACAAAAAGAAAAAACAAAAACAAACAAACAAACAAACAAACAAAAAACCACATGATCATCTCCCTGGATGCCAAGAAAGCATTTGACAAAATCCACCACTTGTTCATATTTAAAATCTTGAAGAGATCGGCAATACAAGGAACATACTTAAATATAGTAAAGGCAATATAAAACAAGCCTATAGCCAACATCAAACTAAACAAAAAGAAACTTAAATCAATCCCACTAAAATTGTGAATAAGGCAAGGCTGCCCACTCTTTTTGTATCTCTTCAATATAGTACTGGAAGTCCTAGCAAGAACAGTAAGACAACTAATGGATATAAATTGGAAAGGAAAAAGTAGATAATATGATAGTATGCATGAGTGATCCCAAAAATACTATCAGGGAACTCCTACAGCCGATAAATAACTTCAGAAAAGTGGCGGGATACAAAATTAACTAAAAAAAAAAAAAAAGCCTTTTTGTATACAAAAGACAAAAGGGCTAAGAAAAAAATTAGGAAAACAACACCCTTCACAATAGCCACAAAAAACAAAGTATCTTGGTGTAGCCCTAACCAAGCAAGTGAAAGACTATCCAAGTGGGTTCCCTAGTAAAGGGAACAGGGACTATTTCTGACATGAATTCAATGGCTGGCTCTTTGACCACCCCCATCCCCACCCCCAGGGAAGAGCAGCCTTGCTAGGCCAAAGAGGAGGACATTGTAGCCAGTCCTGAAGATACCAGATAAGCTAGGGTCAGATGGAAGAGGAGGAGGACCTACTCTATCAGTGGACTTGAAAAGGGGCAGGGAGGAGATGATGGAGGTAGGGTGGGATTGGGAGGGAATGAAGGAGGGAGCTGAGACTGGGATACAAAGTAAATAACCTGGATTAATATTTAAAAAAGAAAAAAAAATTCAAGTCTCTGAAGAAATTCAAAATGATAACAGAAGATGAAAGATTTCCCATGCTCATGGACTGGTAGGATTAACACAGTAAAAATGGCCATCTTACCAAAAGCAATCTATAGATTCAGTGCAATTCTCATCAAAATACCAACCCAATTCTTTACAGACCTTGAAAAAATAATTTACAACTTCACCTGGTAAAACAAAAAACAAGAAAATAGTCAAAAAATCCTGTATCATAAAAAAAAATATTCTGGGGGCGGGGAAAGATGGCAGCGCCGGGAGGACTCTCATTCTGAGGAGCAGCACAGCAGGATTGGCACAGTGACCAGCAATCAGAACTCGCGGCCATAAAACACAAGTGGTTGTGTTTCTCAGGTGAGAGGATACCCCATGGTGGGGGATTCGATCAGCTTTAACTCACCCGGCTAAAGCGCGGAAGAGATCCCCGTTCCGCCAGACGCTTGGTCGCCAGCCCAGAGCTACCCGCCAGTGTGATCTGGTCACGGTCCCAGACTGAACTGTGGGCCCACAACACCATAGACTGGATTTCCCAGTCGAGAGATAACCCCACGGAGCAGGAAACAATTGGAACCGACCCCAGGTTACCCAGACATCCCCTGGAAAAGACTCGGGTTCCGAGGGTGCCCCAGGAGCCAGCCCGGACCCAGAGCCGGGAGGGACAAAGGCGCCTGCCTGCACAGAGCCCTGCCTGCGCGCGTGATTCGCCGTCTCAGATAGAACTGTGGGCACCAGGGCAACAGGGCACCAGACTGCGTGTCTCTGGCAGGAGGAAACCGCCAGCGGAGCGGGTCAGCAGCTCTAACGCTTACGACATCCAGCACCAAAACACTTCCTGGACTCACGCAGACTCTAGTGCAGGCAGAAGTGCTGTGCTCTGCCGCCATTGTTGCGTTCCCCTGGGGCACTGGGACACACAGCTGCATCCTCGGACCTGCAGGAGCCGAAGAGCCATTACAGCAGCCCTCAGATACTGTGCCAGGGATCGGCCAGTTGTCCCTGGCTGGACTGCCAAAACTGTAGGAATCCCTGATCCTTCAGGGGGGCTGCACCCACAGCGTCTGGACCAGAGCGGTGCCTACAGCCGCCATCCCAGACAGAGACACACAGCTTCTGGTCCAGAGTGAGGCACCCAGCCTCCAGACCAGAGCAGTGCCCCCAGGCGCCAACTCAACCTAGGTGCACATTCTCCAGGTCCAGAGCAGAGCAATCAGCCTTTGGCCCAGAGACTTGCTGAGTGCACCTCCCACTTTCTCAGACAGAACTGTGCGCCCCAGGATAACAGACTGAGTTTCCCTGTTGGGAGAAAACCCCATAGCTAGGGAATCAGCAGTTTCTTCAAGAGGACTGTACATGGAAATTTAGTGAGCAGCAGCACACTAAATTTGTAACAAGAAACCCGGCAGTGGGGCAGCTGTCTTGAGAAATTTTATGGGTAAGAGGAGATCCCCCCTGCCTAACATAGACCACAGCTACTACTCAGGGCTATAAACCTGAGGTGAGCAGTGGCAACTCCGGAGAAACACTGGCCATACAGTGACCATAACCAAAAAGCAGAGAAGGACTCCTTCAGGAAAAATCATCTTCCGGCCAAGGGGATACTCCCTACCTCAGGACTCCAGGAAGCACAGAAACTAACAGCCAAAACCTAAATCAGCCCAATGGGTAGAGGTCAGTGTAAAGGCTCAACCAACAAAAGACAGAGCAATATGGCATCTCCAGAACCCAGCCATCCAGGGGCGAACAGCCCTGAACAATGCAGCATAATAGAAAATCAAGAAGATGACCTTACATCTATGTTGATGAAGAGAATAATAGAGGAAACAGATAAAATACGTAAAGAATTAGAGGAAGATAAAACCAAACAGATCATGGCTATCCGTAAAGAAATGGAGGAAGATAAAGACAAGCAAATTAGGGCCATCTGTGAAGAAATACGGGAAGATGCAGCCAAACAGCTTGTGGCCTTCAGAGAAGAAATAATTAAATCACTGAAAGAAATCAAAGAGACAGAGTTGAAGGAACTAAAAGAAAAAGAGGAAAATACAAGCAGACAGGTGAAGGAAGTAAACAAAACAACTCAAGACCTGAAGATAG